CCCACACCCACACCCACACCCACCCACACCCTAGTATATGATCTATCAACACATCCAAACAACATCTACATTCACACATCCACACCAAGACCATGATAAAATCATATTTTGAATATATGCAAGTAAATTAGCACATAACTATTTTTGCTGGATTCGATTCATTTATGAATGTTGGTTCAAATTGACGTTATTGTGTTCAATATTCGTTAACTAAAATAAGTAAATTAGATTTTGTTTTTTTATATAATTAATATTAGCAAGTTTTCTTCTACAATACGTGCAGATAATATTCTCGACCAGCAATAAGAAATAAATGATTGTCTAATTTTTCAAAACGAGCACTGAAACGTGATAACGTTAATTAAAACTTAAAAAAGTAAAATATATATCATATTATCTATGAGAATTCATTTTGACATTTAATGGCGAAATTTATTGATGTTGTGATTTACAGCTCGTTAGATAGAGTAAACAGTTTACTTTAAACTACAGTGTAATATATTGATTTTTAATTGATCATCATTCCTTTGGATTGCAACAAAGAGGTTTTTTTTTCATTAATGTTTTACTATTTATCGTTTTCGAAATAAATTTTAATCGTACGTGTAAGTCTTGATAATTTTTAAAAGAAAATTAGGAAGAATATTTAACTACAGGTGGAATACCATAGCTCATCCAACAGTCCAAATACAACTTCACTCTATTTTAGTCATAAGAATAAATTCAGAAAAATTCGTGCAATATTAATTCACTATTAAATCATCAGTATGAAATTTCAATAAAATTTTCTTTTCTTTAAAGATTAATATAAAAAACAATTAAGAAAAAAAACTCAAGACAAGTTAATCTCCATAGAGCCATACATATTGATTTTCTTTGTGCAATATTTTTCATTGATAATAGAGTCCGTTCATTAACTTAAGCTGAATAAGGTGCATTAATTAAAGCACGAACAACAAGCAAAAACTGTATATGCAAGTATTTGAGGATATAATTTTTGTGTTCATCCAACAAATTCTAAAATCATTTTATTCGTTAAACGATTCAAAAAAGCAATATGTGCAAATAATAATGGTAATGAACGCAATAAAAGTAAAGGTTCATATGGTAATGTTGAGGATTGTTTAGGATGTTCATATAATTCTGCAACAAGTTCAATAAGAATATTATCTGATGATGATATTATTAATGAATTATCAATAATTTCTTATTCTTCATTAACATATTCATTATTTAATGAATTTATATTTTCATTTGGTCATTGTTATTATCTATAAATATTTTCAATTATTAAAATAAGATAATTAATATTAAACGATGATTATTGACCTATTATTATTATTATTAAATGTTCATAAAAAAAAGTGCATATATCGTAGTTAGGATATTGATAAACTATTTAAAGTCTTTAAAGACTAATTCATATTGTTTTGTTGTGTTAAATAGTCACCATTAATTAATGATAATAAAATATAATATGAATTGAAATTATTATTTAACTCTTCTGTTATATAATTTATTTATATTAACTTCAAGACTTTAAAGTAAAAATAAATAAGGTGTAAATTTATAATAACGTTGAATTAAATATATTATATTATTTTGTTGTTTTTGTCCAAGTAATAAACCAGCAATATTTATATAAATTCTAACTTAATAACATGATTAAATAAAATAAATATAATTGATGTAAATGTAAATAAATTTGCAATATATATAAATGACTAAATAGAAAAATTATTCGAATTTTATTGTTAAACAATGAATATATAATTTAATTAGAATTTCTAATGATGATGTCAAATGAAGATAATGACAAGAAAATAAACTCGAAATAAAATATTTTTCGAGGTTGATGTTCTCTTACTCGAATTTTCTCATTAGTTTATTAATAGAATAAAACAAATAATAAGAATCTATTCGAAATTCTTCATATAATATTCTATTTATATGAATATAAGAGATTTTCCATATATTTTATATCAAATAAAAGTCACAACAGAACACGAAATTATTTGTTTGAATAAATTAAGAATTTCTCAATAAATTTGTCTTTCTCTTAATGAAGACTTTTGTTTAAAATTCATTTGATAACTTTCTTGTTGTTTTTTGTTAGACTTATTAACTATTAATGGCAATATGGTATTATTTTGAATTGATATTAATATATTATCATATGAAAATTGTTCATTGGATAATAAATCATGTTTATTTAATTGTTCAATGTTTTTTTAAAATAAATTCTTTGAATTTTTTTCTAATGTTAAATGTCTTTGCATATATTGACCATCAATTAAAAAAATAAGAGATAAAATCTAGTTTATTTTTGAATATTGTTACCATATAATGTTGCACTTGTTTCGAAAATATTTTCTTTTAGTTAAATTATTTTTTGTTTGTTCATTTTCATGATTATATTGATTTTTGTGGTCGATTAATTGAACGATAAAAATGAAAGGTATATTTCTTGAAATTCTATTCTTAATAATCAATAAACTGAAAAAATTATCTTGATATATGTCTACATTAATGAAATATTGGTAAAAAAAATAATAACAATATAGCTATACCATCTAGATAATCTGAATAAATATATGATTTATATACTTTATTTTTATTGTTAAATAATAAAGATAATCAAGATTATTAAATAATAAAAGTAATTATTCTATAAATGATTTATTAACTGGTTCAATTAAATAAAAATATGATTATAATTATTTATTTATTTATTTTATAGAGTTAAATCATGTCGTTGATAAAGATATTCACACTATTGATAATAATGTTTTCGATAATCTACAACATTATATTATATGATCTATTTCACAACTAAGAAATGATTTTGTTTTTTAAATATATTTCTATAGAATTATATCTGATATAAATATAATAAAACGTAATAAATTAAGCATATATTATCTGTTGAAAATAGACATGTTTTATTCAAGATGATTTGGGTGTGGGGTTTGGGTGTGACAGTTGTTCTGTTCTTCAATAACACAGCTATGCCGATGCTGACACCCACACACCCCACACACACACCCACACCCTCCGTTTATCTGATCGGTTGATGATTTATTCTCAGTTGGAAGTCTATTGAGTGTACTTACCGGTATGCATTGTACAGTCTTATTGATTTAATGGTTCTTTCTTGTAGACTTTCGACCATGTTTTAGATGACTAGCTTTTCATGTGTGTATCCTATTCTATTTATAACCGTTTCACACTTTTCGATATTGAGATCGAACTATCAAAATAATATTACTGATTATTTATTGAAATAACGACTAAAGACAATACTTTCTCTCACGTCTTGGTGTCAGACCCGATTACAAGGAAAACAAGAGATAGAGAATCTAGTTCATTCATAAATGAAAGTAACTGATATAACATGAATGATTTTTCGTTATATACACATACAAGGTTGGACTGAGAATATTCCAACATGAGTTGGGAAAAACATATAAATAAAAGGAAAAATGAAACTAGGAATTTTCCAATATCTCTGTCCAGTGACTATAGGGGAAATTCCCATGAGTCACTATATCACACTTCCATGTTTCGAAAGTCTGCTTATCAAGGAGAAAGAGTGAAGCGTTAAAAGCGCTTATGAAACCTTTGTGTAACATAGAAATGCTTAGCAACGAAACCGCCAATATTTCCAGGGTGGGTTGTGGGTTTTTGTGAAAAAAGAACAGGATCCACCCACACCTACATCCTCATATCCAGTTCTCCCGAAACCAACACAGCCACACCAAACAAAATATCTGCGTTCTGTGCTATTTAGCTAATAAAGAAGAAGTGTACTCTTAGAATTTTCGGTCGAAAAAATACCCAAATACCCAACTCAAAAATTTATTCTCCCGTTATGATTCTCTCAGTGAGAGTATTGTTTTTTTCTTTGGCTATTGCTAGAAGAAGGAAAAGTTGCACCATCAAAAAAGCAATTTTTTTTTCTTTCCTTTATCGGAAGTAGTGCCGTACCCGTTACTCACTGAGAGAAACATTGTTGGGTTTTTTTTATACTTTTGTTATATATAAACGTTCTCCTTTTCATTCATTGTATAAAGCTCTTACACCATTTAGTTGTTTTATAAAACGAAAGCAAGTTAAACTTTGGTTCTATTTGCAATTGGATAATGCTACAACCGATGTATTGCTTATTATTTTTTCATTTTAGACCTTTTACGAAACACATCATGTCATCTATTCCATGCAAGTCTAAGGATGAAGGTGATGGAAAGAATTGTTTTGGTTCTCATGAATCAACAGCTCGACGTGCTGGTGTTAATCCAACATTATGCAAATATGGCGAAGATTGTCGAACAAAAAATTGTACATTTACACATTTAAAGCCACCAAAAGGTCTAACCACAACTGCAAAAGCTGATTGCAATTATGATATGAATTGTACTCGATCTGGTTGTCATTTCAATCATCCTAATGGAAGATTAATTGATCAAACAACTGTATCTTCATCAGACAGTACTCAAAAGAATATTGCATCAAATCATGCTGTTCTCTCGTCACCTCGTTTAGCATATCATGGTCATCAACGTTGTGATTCATCACAATCTGATACTTCATCGCGTAGTCATTTTCGATCTTCTTCAAAACATTCAAGACCAACAAAAGGCGCAACAACAACTACAAAAACTGCTTGTCATTATGATGTGAATTGTACTCGATCCGGTTGTCATTTCAATCATCCTAATGGAAGATTAATCGACCAGAAAGAGATCTCTTCACCAGACAGTACTCAACAAAATACTGCATCCAGATGTGCTATTCCTCCGTTACCTCATTCAGGAAATCGTGGTCATCAACGTCATGATTCACCAGAATCTGATATTTCATCGCGTCATCATAGTCGATCTTCTTCAAAAACATCGAATATCGTTGATCAAGTCCTTACTACTATTCAAACTAAGACTACAATACGTGAAAAAAGTCAGCGATCATCCGGTAGTGAACTAATTGAAATTATTAGTAAACTATTAGCAAAAGTAGAAGAACAGCAGATGGAATTTGATTCTAATCATCAAGAAAGCAACGATAGTGATGATGAACACGTACTTGATGCTCTCCAACAGAATGCATCACAAGAGTTAAAATTACAAAGAAATGAATTTCAGTCCGCCATCGACACGCTAACTATTGAATACAACGACATTCTTTCGTCGGCAATAGATAACAAATATAATGTATTACAACTTGACTGTATACAAAACAAAATAGAACGCGAATTAAAACGTTGGCAATCGCGTCTTCCTATATATGGAAGACGCTCAGATATTATTGAAAAGCTAGAAAGAAATCAAGTTCTTATTTTAAAAGCTGATACAGGTTCAGGGAAGAGTACACAGACAGTGCAGTATCTATGTGATGCTAATTTTGCCGATGAAAGTAAATTTTCAGATTCTTCTTGCATTCTGCTTTTAATTTCTAATAATAAATAACTATTTTAGAACAAATCATATGCACTCAACCACGTAAATTAGCAGCACGATCTTTAGCAGCTCGAGTAGCCGAAGAATATGGATGTCAGATTGGTGAAGAAGTAAATAAATGATTTATTATATTCATTTCTATTTTGTCTTGACGTCTACTTTAGGTTGGCTTTCACGTAGGTGGTGGTCGACCTACAACTTCAAAGCAAACCAAAATAAAATTCGTTACCGATACACTCTTTCTCAATGAATACAAAAATGATCCAATGTTATTAAAGTATTCAGTCGTTCTGGTGGATGAAGCGCACGAACGAAAGATCGATACAGATATAGTACTTGGATTAATGAAACAATGTTTGAAAAAAAGAAAAGATTTAAAGGTTAGTCACATCAAAATTGAATTTATAGACACATTGTACTGTATGTCTTATACGAATTTCAGCTCGTTGTCATGTCCGCTACATTAGATATGGATCTGCTTTATAACTACTTTGCAAATAACTTTAAATGTGATACATTAGAAGTTGGTGGCCGAACCTATCCAATAGAAGATTTTTATCTAGATGATGATGTTGAGAATTATGTTCAAGCATCAGTTACAAAAGCAATTGAAATACATCAAAGTGATGAAATTGGTGATATCTTAGTATTTTTAACTGGTCAAGATGAAATTGATTTAGCGTTAGCTGATTTATGTAAGAAACAGGAAAACGATAAATCATATATCGGTTTGCCATTACATGGAAAATTGTCCGAAGAAGAGAATGCACAAATATTCGAAAAGATGCCAGATAAACGCAAAATTATTTTCAGTACAAACGTAGCAGAAACATCTGTTACTATTGATGGAATTAAACATGTAGTCGAAAGTGGAATGGTAAAAGAGAAAATGTGGGATGAGAAAAGAAAAATGCAAATGTTAAAGATTGGACAGATTACGAAAAGTTCAGTTAAACAACGACGTGGACGAGCCGGAAGAACATCGGCTGGAAAGGTAAGAAAATTATCAGCTCGGTCTTAGAATCATGTGGAAACATTCAAACTCGCTATTTAAGGATCAGACACGATATGAAATGAACGTTGAAGTGTATAAGACAAAAATTTATATACAAAAATCGTGATAAAGATAACTACATATGTTGAAGAAAATAGCGAAAAGAGTGAATCTCTTGTCCGGTCGACAGGCTGTGACAAACAGAAATAATTGGTAAAGTTCCGTACAGCTCTATAGACTTTGCCAAGTATTTCGTTAGTTTACTGTATCTAATCATTGAGAAAATAGGATCAACAGGTGAAGAGCGCTCCTTGACCATAATGACAGAATCGGTAGTAATTCAGTCATCCCTTTCTGGCAAGAGTTTTGAAGCATATATCTAATTTACCAAGGTTTTCAAAGATCTGTAGAGAGACTTAGCTTCTCATAATTGAGTGAGTTTAGGTGTTCATAACACCGATATCCACATCTACTCGTCACGTCAATGAACACCTACGTGCCATGGTCCAATAGGAATTATGCTTAAATCTTTTACTTATCTTTTCAGTGCTATCATTTATATACGATGGAAACTTATGAAGCGATGGATGCTTGTTCACGTGCAGAAATTCTCTGTACTCAGCCAACAATTGCCATATTGAAACTAAAGCATTTGAACATTGATAATATCGAATCATTTGAATGGCTTCAATCTCCACCTGCTTCTAGTTTACATGAAGCCTATCAAATTCTACATTGGCTGAATGCACTGGATTCACAAGGTAGATTGACACAGCTTGGTCGAAATATGGCTCGTCTTGATATTGATCCAAAATTAACCGCAATATTATATAAGGGACAAGAACTTAACTGCCTATCGTACGCATTAATTCTAGCAGGTATGCTAACTGTATCACAGAATGTCTGGTGGAGTAGTAAAGATCAGGAATCGAAGGGCATGGCTACACGAGCACGTGCTGAATTTAGTCATGAAAGTGGCGATCATATAACATTAATAAATGTATATTTAAAATGGAGTACATTTTGTGCCAATAATAAAAATAAAAAACAACAAAATACATGGTGTAAGAATAACTCTCTTAATGGAAAATCATTACAACTGGCTCAAAATTTTATCCGAGAAAAAGCCAAGCAAATGGACCATGAAATAGAACTTTGTGATAGTGAAGAATTAAATGAAGATATCATTGGTCGAATTCTACAATGTATAACAGCTGGTCATTTTATGAATTTAGCTATATCAAATGGACCATTTAGAGCTGGCTATCAAATTATTTCTGCTTTCTCTCAAATGTCTAATGATCCAGTAGTAGCACGTGTATTTCGTACATCCTCATTATGTTTAAATGATCAAATGCCTAAATATGTTTTCTTTAATGAATTACTAAATCTCAATGGAACTAACTATATTACAATTTTATCTTCGACTAATATCTACTGGCTAAAATCTGTGTCCCGACCATGGTTTACTGCTGTGAATGGAGATAATTTACATGCAATTTCTTATGAAAGCTGTGTATTCGAAAATATCGGCGCAACTCTACTACGAGCTATTGTTGGTAAACGAAATTGTAATCTGAATAAGCTTGAAGAGACAACTCAAGCGGTTATTGATGTCGATTATAAACAATCAAGATTAACAATATGGTCACGTAAAGTTAATTTGGAAAAAGCGAAGAAAATTGTTGAAGAAATAATTCAGAAAGAAAAACAACAATTGCTCGTAGAAGCTGAAGAAATACACATTATAGGAAGAACTCGCATTTTAATGGGTGCCGGAGGTATTACTCAAATGGTTCTCCTTGGAAGTGATTATATTAGAATCATAATGACTAAATTGCCGACAACAATAACGGAAGAGAGAATTCGAGATTTATGTGAACCATTTGGACAGAGTAAGTATGCAAGACTAGTTCAATATCTTTACCCTCAATAGACCATGGCAGATGTAGATATACGATCATAAGCTATTTTAATAATATCTCACTCTAATATGTGAAATAGTTTTTTAACTGCATTCCTAAACGATTAATTGGCATGATGGTGAAGAAATTGGTTGTAAAATAGGCCTAACAAACCAATCTCGTGTGATAGCGAACAGCAGCTCGAATGTATTTCGCATTATAGGATACTCAAAATACTAGAAGTCATGTAAAAATCATTTTGTCTACTTGTATTCTAATTATTTTAGTTCGTAAAATTGATTTTATCCGACACAATGAAAACAGCTCATGTGTAGCAGTGACATATTCAACAGTCGAACAAGCACGTCTCGCTTTCAGTGAATTGAACGGTTTTATTGAACAGGGTCGCGAAATCGCTGTTAGTGATTCATGTTTGAAAACTGAAGCAACCACAGGCAAACAAAATTGTCGTCTCAAAGCTATATGGTATCTAACACAGTCAACTGGAAGTGGAAGGATTACTTTTAGACAAGAAAAAAGTGCACTCGATATATACGAGTTGTTTAAAAGGCTGTCGTTGAAATGCTCTTATGAGCGCTCAACTGATGTGCCTACGATGAAAGTTATCTACTATCTTAGTGAAAATAGTGGAAAAGCTTTTATTAATTTTGGCAGACTTCAGCAAGCACAAGATGCTGTCAGATTGGCGAACAATCCGTTAATAACACTTGCACAAAGTACACGGAATGGTACAGGGTCCGTTCTATTCCAAGGATTTTCAAAAGATTTTGACGAGGAAGATATACGCAATAGTTTTCAAGTTTGCAGCGGTATCATCGATGTGCAGGTTTTACGCGGTAGAAAAGGGAAAATCATTAGAAAGCCCGATTCTGCTGCAGATGATATCAAATCGATATTTAATCGCTACAAATCGTTTCAACGTGATACAATAATATTTGACGATAAGATATCTAATGGTAAATTAGTAGCATTCGTTGAGTTTTTAGATATTACAGAACTAAAACAAGCAATCGAAGAAATGAGTGGACAAACAGGAATAATCGGTTGTGGTAAAGTGAGATTATCTGAACGAATTCAACAAAAGAAAGATGAAACAAAGAAGAAGAAAGAAGATGAATATGTTATTAAACTGCAAAATCTTGATAGATCATGGGATAAACATGATCTTATTAAAATTCTAAAAGAAAATCAATTATATGATGACGTAAAAAATGTTACAATTTTTCGTCAAAAATTAGAAAACAATAATTCTACAACTACAGAGACTAATTTTGGTAGAGAAGAAGAAATTGGTTTAATTCGTCTTCGATCTATGTTTCTTAGTACAAAAGGTTTATTTCGTTCGGTACCAGATTGTCAGATTCCATCATGCACACCGGATGGAACCGTTACAGCACTCGTTCTTTTCAATGATCCTACTGATATAACAACAGCTATACAAACGTACGATAATCAAGTAATTAAACTTTTTAAGGGTTCAAGTAAACTACGGCTTATTCCGTCAATGGCATATGAAATCTTTGTTAATGCAACTTTGGCAAAAGCTATTCCATATAAAATTGCACGGGCAACTCAATATGTTCGAGAGAAGTGTAAGAGAGTTTATATTAAAGCTGTGCCCTCAGAGAAAACGGCTGCAATGAAGATATTTATCGATGGGGATGACATAGAACAAATAACAATCGCGAAAATTACCTTTGATACATTAATGAAGGGAATGGAATATAAATATGAAGATGATTCAGATAAAGTAAGTGACACAAGAAGAACCTCTTAACTGTCCAAGCAATTTTTCCATTAAATTTAGTAGGTATTAGGCAAAAGGTATTGCGGATTTCGATTATAAATACGAGACCGGCTCTTAAGAATCTAGAGAACTATTGCTGAAATCTGTCTTTTTCGTAAACAAATATTTTTTTCTTTGTGAGAATCATTACTAAAGGTACGAGAAATAATTCTATTTTTCCCTTTTGATTTCTCTCTCAAGTGGATAGGAAAAAATAGTTTGTCAGAAATGATTTTTCTACAATCGTATCTGTCGATCTTGTATTGATATTTAAAATCAATATGATTAGGTTCGTAGAGTTGGCGAGATTTAGTGGCGCAGCTATTGCAGGCAGTCAAGTACTTTTCCTTTTCAGTTCATTTCTATTCTTTCTCGACTTACGAAAAAAATACTCATTTATGTTATCTTTCCTAGACGAGAATCATCTTTGATCGTGCTGGTACGAAAATATTGCAAGAAATTCAAAACGAAACTGGTACTTATATTTGGTGGAATTATTCGAATTCTTTTGTTCGTATTTATGGCAGTGATCAAGCATCAGAATTAGCTAAAAATCGTATAGATGAATATATTCGAGATATCATAAATAATAAAAAATGTACTATTATGTTAGACATCCCATTTGGTAAGTACTTGTTTGAATTACTAATATGTTGCATCCAGACTTTTTGATAAGTCGATCATTCTTTGTTATATTTGCAGGCTATATACGTCAAGTATTAAAAACGAGTGCAACTTATCAGGAAACTATTGCAAAGGAATTTAATGTTGAGATTAGTATATTAGATGTCAGACGTCAGATACGAATTGTTGGTAAGGAAAAAGATGTCTTAAAATGCGAAGAAACAATTAAAAAGACTTGGACAACAACACCTGTAGAGCAGCAGACAGCAACGAAATTAGTCATAGTGAAGACTAGTATTGAATGTCCAATTTGTTGTGACACGGCTAATTATTTTTTACAAGCTTGTGGACATCCTTATTGCTTAAATTGTCTTAAAATGCAATTATCAACAAAATTTGATACAACATTAAGTAATGAAAGTCTGAAGATTAAATGTATAACCTCAGAATGTAATTCAACACTTTTATTACGTGATATTAAAACAATAATTGATCCAAACAATATGCCGAAATTAGCACGTGCATCACTTGCAGCTTACTTAAAAACGGATAATGATATTGTACGATGCATGGGTACTGATTGTAAACAAGTAAGATACCAATCATATTTTTAGCAGTGTTGTCGATATCTTTTAA